GTTGTGAACAATCCCTGTTGCGGTGCAAAGTGCTTTGCTGTGACTTGTCCCAAATGAACATTTAGGACCCACTAGCTTTACAGTCCCCCTATGGAGAAGGAAGTGCTAGAACTGGCTTGTGGACTAAGTAAAAATGTTTCTCCTTGGTGCTGGGACAAGTGTCTCCTGGAAAATTTTGAGCTGGTGGCCTTAGCTCTTGGGGGACTGGCTGTATTCCTCTCTTTAGGGCTCCCTAGCTAAAGACCAAGACACTGGACTACAACTGCTCTTCACAATTCTATGACTGCCAGCTGAGCCTAATGCACTGCTGCTCTTTGAAGAGTGGGTAAACACACAGAGAAATCAGCAAAGGCCCCAGGGCTCTCTTTGGTGTTGTGGTTGTGAGGAATGTCATGAGTCCTCTTCAAAATGTACAGCTACACCACCGATCTACCATGACACACCCCCATAAGGGAAGGGCCTTCTCAGTGATTGCATCCTATCTTTGGAATTGGCTCCCCAAAGTAGTTCACCTGGCACTACTACAGAGTAGAGTAGAGGGTAGTTCACCTCATTACAATCTTTTCTGCACCAGACAAAAACAGTATTATTATCTGCTGCAAAAGAACTTCGTGAATGCCTGCATAAGTACATGGAATAAATAGGCAGGGCATCTTTGCACCTACAGGACTCACTCACAGAGGAGGCTGCTTGCTGCATCTCACTACGGATGGCCTCCTCCATCCTTACTTCCCACAAATTGATCACAGCCAGAGTGAAGCAGATGAAGGAGTGTTTCCTCTGTGGCCGTGCTTGGATCAGTTCTCCACTCTTCACACAGCGAAGCAGCAGCATCCCCAGCTTTCTGAGGAAGCTGCCCAGTGCATCCATCTCTGCATGAGTTCTTGCTCTGGCTTGTCTGAGGGCAGGTGGTTCTCCTTATTACAGACGCAGAAAGATAAACCATTTGTGATGTCAGAGCGACACACTCCTTAATCCAGAGGAAAGTGTGCCTCTGCTATTAGCAGTGGTGTGGTTCATCAATTACAGACTTAATGGTTTTACAGAGCAGTCCTCCTCCCTCCTCCTTTAGATGGCGATGTCCGCTATTTCACTGACCTCAAATTATGGCAAGCCAACCCTTCTCTGTCTGGGCACCCTCCAGCCTCTTCTGCTTGTGAAGCATGGCCCTAGCCAACGAGAGAGCAAGGCAGAAAATTCCTGCACAGCTCTAAATGTGTATTAAGCACATACAAGTCTGAGTGTCAGCAAATAATCCACAAACTTTCCCAGGGGGGAATATATGCTGATGAAATAAATGCCATATACTGTAGATCACAGCTGTGACATATCTTGACACCTCAAAGGAAGAAGACAAAGCAGGCTGTTTCATTCCAAGCTAGAATATTGACTCTGACCAACTGCAGCCCCTCTCCCTGCACCCACCAATCCTAAAATGGGGATGGGGCAGCCCTTCCATATCCCTGTGGGTCATAGGTGAAGCAATTCTGCTTGGGGAATAAACACATCAGGGCTCAGGAAATAATTCCACTAGTGAGTCTCATGGCAAAAAGCTAGCCAGAATAAAGAAAAATACCCACATGGACCACTAGGTGTCCACATGTGCCTGTGTGTGTGCTCAAACATTTTTCTTCATGTTTTCTGGGAGGATTCATTGCTGCAATAGAATTCCCACTCAGATTCAACCCCAGTTTATAGTAACCTAAGTGCCTAAGTGCATATTGCATTAACCATTTCACTTGTAATCATCAGAGAATTGCTCATATTTAACCCTAGGCATGAGTTCCTCCCAGTTTCCACTGGGATGGCAGCAATGAACATTGAGGGCCCCATATGGGCCAATATGGGCATTTCTCCTATCACTAACTGCAGCAGGAAGGCCCGTTTCCCTCGGGATTCCAGCTTGGGAGAGAAGGGTGAACCCTCATCTCCCCATGTTCTGTAGTCCTGGAGGAAAGCTGTAGGAGTAATAAATGATGGTGCAAAGGGGCCCTCCTTGGCTGCACTGGCAAGTTCTGCATCCAGCCAGCCATTTCTGAAGAGTTCTTCCTGTCCTTTCAAGGACTGACTTCTTGGCCATCAAAATTGCTCTATGGAGTTGAGTGGGTCAGTTTCCAAGCTTTTGATGCCCTTTTACGTACTGTACAAAAGTTCTAAATATTAGGCAACATATTGCAAGTCATGTCTTGCCACCCAATTTATGGGGGCACAGGGCAATTACTTTGAGCGGCACACTGCCTTTAGAAGCAAAACAGTTACTCCGTATACATCAAATGTCCTGCTTTGTTCATTTTTTCCTTGCCTTGTTAGTTCTTTTCCATTAGTTCCAGAGATGATTCAGTCAGCCACTGCAAAATTCTAAAGGGCAGCTGGAGGTAGATAAAGGGATGGGGCTATATGCAAAAATATTGGTGTCACTGCCTTGCTGAAGGTATGAACCGTTTCTAAAGGCTGTTAAGGGCGGTAGCAAGCAATGAATTGAAAGCCACTGAGCTAGATTAAAGCCGTTAAGTGTAGGCCCTTTGTAAGGAAGAGGGATGAGAACGAGTGCAGAACTAAATCATCAACCACAACGTTTTAAGAAGCTTTGTCAGCCAAAGAGAGTGGTCAACAATCAAAAATAAGATTTAATGAGAGCCCTAACACCTCTCTCTTCTGAATTTTGAAAATTGGGCAATTACGCTTTTCTTCCCCATTGTAAAAAACAATGAGAAAGAAACCCACAAGCAGAGGAGTCTCACAGCAGTTGCAACCTCTGCTCTCTCTTTTACATTTTTTCTTCTAGCAGCATTCTCAGAATTAATCACGTTTAGATCCAAGCCTATCCTCTGAGGAGTTGTCAGGGTATCTGTCACTTCACTGGGTTCTGGCAAGGAGAAAGTGGAGGCATATTCACATGTGAATAGGTAACGAGTCCAAGGTCTCCAGTATAAGGATTTAACCCAGGGCTTTTTCCACACAAGCATCCCTTAAGTCCTAAGATAGTGCTTAAACCGCCATCCTCTGGAACCACAGCATTTTCCTTAAAATCCCATTTATAGATTTCCTATAAGCAGAAAGTGCTGACAGCAGTCTTCTCCAACTACCCAGTTATACCTTTGGTTCCACATGGCATTTAATCAAGTGGTGTGTTCCCCATTTATAGCTATGTAATCTCCAACCTCATGGGCAAGTTTGTTTGCTCAGAAGTAAACCCCATTTTGTTGGATAGGACTGTCCAGAAAGCATGTTTAGGATTGTTGCCTTCAACCAAGAAAAGGTTTGCCAGACTATTGCATTTCAAAGGAGAGGGGGCTTCAGCTCCCAGTATGATCCAAATTGGCCTGTTAACTCTTTCCCAGACAGGAAGGAACATTTCACCCAACTTCTCTTAGCTACCACAGTGGCATTTATTTAGTTAGTTTGCTTTGAGTTTGCATAAGAAAAAATGGAATAGAGATCTAATGAATGAATGAATTGTATTCTGCCTGTCCATATCTAAATGCCCAGTGAAGAAGTGAGCAGGCTCAGGATGGCCGTTCCAGACCAAAAATTAGAGTGGAAACCACCCCGGTGCCTCCAGTCTGAGTTAACACCAAAACCCAAAGCAAAACCACATCACACCCTGACACTGACAAGTGTCAACATCTCTCAGAGTGGCTCAGAAAAGCAAGAACACAGCGAAAGGGGCAGGAAGCAGGCCACGGCTTTTGTCTCCCACAAATGGGGAACAGCAACAAAAATATGGTGGCTTGAGGGCAGCGAAGAGAGAGAAAGGAAAAAGGCGCAGCCCTAAAGATGAAAAATGATTCTTTAAGGTTGGGGGTTGGTTGGGATGACCTTTCAGGGGCCTTTACCACTCAGTGCCTCTGGCTGCAAACAGGATACGGATCCCTTCCAACTCTAGGACCAAGACCAACCAAAATTCCACAAAACTGCAGGTTTTTCACTTCCAGACTTCTTTATTAGGCTAAATGATTCAAAAATCTTCAGTGTGGGTGCTCTGAGGCAATCAATATCTGTCAAGATGAAAGACATTTGATAGCTGGTAATGTTCTGGTAATGTGTTTTAGTTGGCTGTGGAATGGCCCATGAAAGCTCTCTCTCAGCCCATCTTTCTGCCTGCGTCTAGGAAGGGGAGGGAGGTCTGTGTGAGTAGTGGGAAGCCAGGCTGTAATATAGCTGTGCCTGGAGGAAGGCAGAGAGCTGAACTGGCTTTCTGCACAAAACTCTTTTGAGCTGTGGCCATCCCTAGATATCTGGTGGGAACCTAAATCTGTCTGTGTTCCTACTGTGAAACCATTTTTTCCTTAGTCCTGTATAGATGTGTAAACACGTGCTATAAGTTTCCAGTGACCTCCTTTTACAGACATGGAAGCCTGAGTAAGCATGGGAGCTACCAAAACCAACTGCTGCTCAGAAATGGGGTGCGCAAGCATAACAAAAACAAGCATAAAAAGGAGAGCAAAGGGGAACAAAAAAGTGGCTGATTTCAAAGGTGAAAATGAACAGGGAAATACTTGTATGCATACTGAAGGTTTGTGCCCTGAGTGTGGAAATGGGAAAGTTTAAAATGATTTGATTGTTTTCTTTCTCATGGTTTTTGTACTCTGCTCTTCCTCCTGGAAATTCAGAGCAGCTTGTCCATAGTTACCAAGTAATTTCCTATCCATGCATTGCTCAGGTACATACTCCCTCTGCCCATAACTCCTCAGTTTCAGCAGTAACGCAGCAGTAACGGCAGTAACCACTTTCCAGGGACAAAAAGAAGAGAAGGGTTTGAAATTTCATATTAACACCATAGGGGCAAAAACATGCAAACAAAACGTAAAGCAGGGGGGTGAAGCAAGGGCACGTACACACACATACACATGCAGGTCACAGCAGTAAAAACAAAACTGGGAATTAAAAGAGTTTAAAAGGTGTGAACAGAGAATTCGCTAAAGTGCAGCTCGCTTGTTATCTCCTAAGTGGCTGGGTTACCAGCCTCTAGCCTTGCATTTCTGGTCCAAAGGGTGGCCTCATCGGAAACCCAGCAACCTGGCACCTTGCCTCATTTTGCGGGCTTGCCAGCGGATCAGCCGGATGGCTTTCAAGCTGACGTGCAAAAGAGTATCGTATCGGAAGACCAGCTTATAGAAGGAGTCGGTCATCAGGACCCCCGTGGGGTCAGCATGCTTGAGGGCCGTCATGGGTGTGTAGATGGTGTTAGTCTGGTGACGGAAAGGCGGCCTGGCCGTAGTGATGACTTTCAGCGTGTGCTGTTGAAGGAACCAGAAGACACCTGCATGAATGCCAGTAACACTAGTGCCCACCCCCAGGTGGGGCAGACTGCAGTTCCCATCATCCTGAACCATCATCATGCAGACCATGGGAGTTCTACTCCAACTCTAATCTAATCAGGAAGGCCCAGGCTTGGGAAGACGTGTTCCTTGCTCTTCCGATCTGAGGGATAGCTGAGCTTGGGGAGATGCCTGGCCATCACTCAGATAGAGGAAGCATAACACTCAGGGCACAAACCTATGCATGACTAGCTGGGCAATGCTGGGATTTGCAGGAGTTTTTTTTCCCTCTCTAAACATGCATATTATTTTGCCCTTAATTATATAAACGTTGATCACTCTGATCAGTAGGTCATGTTGTTGTACATTTTCCTACGAGCAAAATCAGCAGGTCTGATTATTTGCTTTTAGATGTCACAGCTGGCACTGTCTTGGAAAAGAGGAGCGTCTCTCCTAAAATGCCACTTAGCTTCTACCGGTTTGAGCCTTGTGTTGCCTGCCCTTCTCAGTCTCCTCATATCTAAATTAACACCGAGCAATCAATGTAGGACTGCTGTGATGTAGTGTCCAGAATGTCAGACCAGGCCGTGGGACATCCAGGGCCAGATCCAGCACAGTTATGAAACTCAATGCAATAATCACATACATAATATTTCAAAGGTTTCAGGTCAATGTTCTGGTAAAATGTTTTCCCGGAACAACATTCAATGACATTCAGTTCAAGTTGTGACAACTCAGATTCAGGCTAGATATCAGGAAAAGTTTTCTCACTGTCAGAGCAATTTGACAGTGGAACCAGCTGCCTAGAGAAGTCGTGGGCTCTCCTACACTAGAGGCATTCAGAAAGAAACTGAACACTCATCTGAGTGGGATGGTGTAAATTGGTGATCTGCAAGAGCAGCGGGTTGGACCCAAGGGCCTTCTTTGGCTCCTTCCAATTCCCTATGATTCTATGGCAAACAGTAGTCCCCCTCCACCCTCCCCAGGATTCACAATTTCTCAAATAATTAATCAGAACTAATTAGGAGATGAATGGGCACCTGCAGCACCTGCAGCAACCTTTCTGGTGGCAAGGACTCCTACTTCATAGGAACTAGAATCTTACAGTCAAAGTGTGATGCATAAAATCAAGTGAACAGCACACACTGCCTCCTTGGCCTCACTGCTCTCTTGGTGCCCTGGTCCATGCCTTTCCAGCATCCACAGTTCAACTTACCAACAGAGTCTTCAGACCAAAAAGCAAAACAGCATTGCATTTTGTAACTGCACACTGCTATGTGTGCTTATTTGTGCCTGTAAAGATATAAAGACCCCAAACACCCCTTCCCCATCCTTGTGTCCTTGAGGACCTACAGTTTAAAGGACAATGCAAAGCTCAGAGAAATTTAAAGGGCTTTGGGTGGGATTAGGGGGGATTATTTGCTCATGGAACAAAATCATTTGCAAACAAATGGAACATTATAAGAGAAGGAAATGGAGCTTAATGGCAAATAGGCAATCATTTTGAATAGTTTTAGAGGGGGAAAACAGCCTGAGATGGCCTTGGCTCCATTTCTCTGCTTACCCTGAACATGGTGAATGGTTTTGCTTGCATTAAAATAGCCAGACATGTTGCAGGGCTGTTGGGGTGAGAGGGAGGTTCACAGCTTTAAATTTGTGGTTCCAGACAAGCCCTAGGTCTGTATACATTTTTGCTTTTATTTGTGAATTCTAGGAGCTTGTAGCAGGCCCTAAGGTCATATTCTGGGGTTATGACAGAGGCAGAAAGGATGACTTCCAGGAGAAGGGCCTTTTTGGTTGTAGCATCCCTTCTATGGAATGAGCTCTCCAAAGAGGTGTGCCTGGCACCTACTCTCTATTCTTTTCAGTGCCAGGGGAAACCCTATTTATTTTCCAAGATTTGTAATAGTTAATTTTAATCTTAGCTTTAGCATTGCATTTTATGCTGTACCTCTGTGCAAACTGGATTGTAATTGTGGTGGTTTTATTATTTCTTTTTCGTTGTTCATAGGTAGTCCCTGTCTTTTTTGTTATATGTTTCAACTTTTAACTTTTGTTAACTGCCCAGAGAGCCCTTAGTTATTGAGTGGCATAAAAAAGACATAAATGCATATAAAAAATTAAACCCACATTCCCTCTGTTCTAATTAACTCCTGCCTCCTTGAACCTTTCCCTCATATCTCTGCCTACTTCAGTTGATTCTCAGTCTTTTGACCACAACAACCCTTTCCTTCTGCCACTGTGCCACAAGAAGGAGGACTAAAACATTTAAGGAAGGTGTTAATCACAGCCAAACTGACAGCTCTCTCTTCCCTCTGGTGCTGGTGTTATAAGCCATAGATGGGCACAAAACAGGCTGAGATCCACTAATCAATCTCCAGGTGATTTGCAGCAGATCAGCAAGGAGTCTTCGTGGTTTGTTAAGCAACAGAAAGAGTGGCAATGGAAAGCCTTCTTGCGCTCCTAACTGGCTGCTGAAATCAAGAAAGCTTGTGGCAGGCTGGTGGGGAGAGGCAAATTTCTGTGTGAAAGGCTCTCCATGCAAGCTGCAGTCCTAGTATCAGATACTAAGTTCCAGAATTCTTTGTTGGCCCTCCTGGGTCACAATTATGCATTGGCAGAACTTGGGGTTCTGCTGAAAAACAAAGGAGATCCCACAAGCCAAAATCTGCCCATCCTTGCTTTAAACAATGGGAAGGAAGCTGATGCACTTCTTTCATAAACCTGTGAAAAGATTTCAGTTTGCAGGCCAAAAATGTCCTGACAGAAACTCTAGAGATTCTGGATTAAAATACTCAAATGGCTTGAGGAAATGTTACAAAAACCTCTAACATTTAAACCTGAAGTTTTCTTATTAGGCATTGTACCTGATGATGTTGGTAAACAAGCAATGTATTTGATTCTATATGTAACTACTGCGGCGAGGATTGCATTTGCCCAACATTGGAAGAGTGAAGAACCACCTACCGATGAACTGATTCTAAAAAAAATCTTGGATTGTGCTGAAATGGACAGATTGACTTTGTCTCTGAAGGAGAAAGAAGATACAGACTTCTATCAAACCCGAGACTCTTTTTATTATTGACTAGAGAAATGGGACTATGCATAGAGTTACATATGTTTATAGTTTAACATAAAAAGAAAAAAATGTGGGGGGCTGACCCAGTAGGTCTGATGTTTTTGATGATTGATGACTTTTTAGTTCCTTTTTTGTTAGGTTTATTAAGAATAAAACTTATTCAAAAAAAAAAAAAAAAAAGGAACTCTAGAGATTCTGTAGCAAGCTGGGGCTCAAATGGCTTCCATCTACAGCAGCCCACTTTTCCCTTTATAGGGAAACTGACCTCTCTGTGCAAGTTCTCCTCTCTTCAGGGGATCGAGCATGTTGCCTCCAGAATCAGCAGACATTAGCAGTTTCTGCATTTGTGCTGTCTGTTCTTTTAGGTCAACAAGTTGGCAGCCCTTCTCAAATATAATCAAATTAAGAAGATGCTAGGATGCTCACCTCTGCTACATCTTCAGGGGTCTGGCCCAAGCTGGAGAAGATGGCCTTGGAGTTCTTCAGGTAGACCTTGGTGAATATCTCAGCTGTCTCAGGATCTGTCTGGGAGTAGTCGGCCTTTTCCGCATCCTCATAGACCTTCATCTCGAATTCGGTCACGACTGGGCCTGGCTCTATCAAACTGACACTATAGATTAAGGAAGCATAGACAGTCCTAAGGGTAGCACTCTTCCAGGAACCCACGCCGGCTGCCACTTTCTGGTGGGTGCTGCTGCCTGGGAAGCTTTTCCCCTCAAAATGAACTGCTAAGTGGTAGCAATCAAGAGGGAAGACAAGTTTTATTAAAACTTGTGAATAATGATTGCAAAGTGAACAGCCATTCTCTTCTTGCTAAATAAGCCATGGTGTTAATCACACATCAGAACCTGTTCTTGAAGGATCAGCTGCTTGAGCAGGATCAGCCTTGGAGCCTAAGGCTCTGCTCCAGGTACTCTGCTAGGGATGAACCGGTCTCATTCCAGTCCAGGTTGCTTTTGCACATGTCATCCACACATCCATTCACTCTCAATTCCTCATCAGTCTGCAATTCTTCCTCTTTTAACTTTCAGTGCAGGTGGCAGGAGATGCAGTGACCAGGGGTGGGGTTTGTTATTCCTCTCCACAAGCCAGGACGGCCTGGAAAAGAATGCCTGAAAAGCACTAATTCGGCTGTTTTGGCTGTATCCAGATGAGAAAATTCCTGATGCCAACGCCAGGCATATACTGTTCATTATTGCTCTGGGTTGAGCCTATCAGGGCCACCATTAGCTGAATTCCAATATGGCAGAAATAGGCCACTGTGCTTTCAGGGAAAGCAAGCTGCATTCAGCATGGCTCACCCTCCAAATAAGCTTTGAGAGTCCCTGGTCTGGGAGAAACAACCACTAAATCAACCCAACCTTTGCCACCACTTCCCCTGATTGACCAGGATAGTGGAAGGGAGATGCTGAGAATCCTGAAAAAGCACCATGAGTTTCCTTTGACTACTGGCTTCTTCTTATTTGGGCAACAGTACACTTATTCTCTGTATTGGTTACCACTTTCTCCTGCTAGAGATTCAAGAGGGAAGCTCTTCCTTTTCACTAGACTTGGAGTGAAAAAAGCAGCCCCTGTTGAATTTCTGTGTGTCTGGCAGCTATTAAAGCCAGAGGACATTATTTCCTGCCAAAAGAAAAAGGGAAATGGCAATCCCATCTGTATCCATGTGGGGTCTAAAAGCACAGTCAGATTGTTAGCAACTCACAAGATGTTGAACTTGAGAGCCTGGATGACGAGGCTTTCGCAGAAGCCCTCAATGGCAAATTTGGAGGCTGTGTAGATGTCGTTGAAGACAATGCCTGAAGGAGAGATGCCAAAGAGAAGAGATGAGGGCCAAAGGCATGAGATCAAAGGTTTGGAATTTTGTCCTAGAGGGTGGGATTCCCACCCGCTGTATGTGCACACACGCAAGTGGACTGATCTTACCACGAGGGTAGAGGAGCTTTAACTTTCTGCTCCCTGCTACGGTCTCTGAGGGCCAAACCAGGCATCATTTGGCCATTAGCTTTCATTTCCATAATGGATTTTTCTTTAGCTGTCCTGTGTGTGTGTGTGCGCGTGCACGCGCGCGCACTGAGGCTGGGGAAAGATTGGGACCATGGCATGGGGAAGAAGGTAGCCAGTGGGAGCCTTCCCTCCACTGTGAAGAACAGCCCCAGGTGTGGCCAATCCCTATTGCCACAGCAATGGGGGCAAAGTGTTAAATCCCCTTCTAGTTCCAGAGCTTGCTCAACCAATCACCTACATCTGGTGTCTGTTAAGGAAAAAGGAACCGTGCAAGGGCAAATTCCATATGAAATGTCACCTCTCTCTCCCTCGGGCTCCATCTTCAGGGCTGGTCCAAGACACCTGATGGCTGAGGCAATAAATAGCAAAACGATTCACTGTGCATGGCTGTGTGAAGAACAACATGGGCAGCTGTGGCCAGATGCAGTCCCAAGCAGCCTGCAATGATGCTTTGACTGTGAGGGAGACAACTAAGAGAGAGGAAGGAAATGAGAAATCCAAAGTAGCAGGGAGGAGGCTGTAATTGTTTAGGCCTTGTTCCAGTGGGTGGTGGGAGTTCAAAGATTAAGCACTAGGGCTCATACATGTGAGTTATGAAGAGGCCATTGTGAAGGTTGATAATTTGAAATGTGACCTCTTACGTCAACAGTGCGTAGCTAGATCGTTGAGATTTCTGCTTTCTGCTGGGCAGAGCTGCCTGCTAACACTGTGATCAAACTGCAGCAGCTTGAGGAAGTGGATGTTGGTTATTGTCAGGTATAACTCACAGTGAGCATATTTCACCGGCACTTAAGAATCAGCTCCTGGGAGCAGATTGAAGTGCTGTGCAATGCCTTGCAGTGTGCAAACTCAGAAATAAGGCCCACTGGACCCACTTGGGCTTAATCTCTAGGAAGTGAGTTTAGGATTGCAGTCGTAATGTTCAGAAGGATTTCAGTCCAGAATACCCACTGTGTTTGGTGTGCATAAACTTCTGTGAACTTGTCTGTGTGAAGGAAGCCACGTGAATACCAGAAAACCAGCTTACCTTGCAAACCCATGACACTGCTGATTACCACAATGTGGCCACTCTTCCGTTTCTTCATGTCAGGGAGGACCTCCTTAATCATCCGCACCACACCAAAGAAGTTGGTCTCCATGATGGCCTTCATCATCTCAATAGACTGGCACTCGATAGGACCAATGAGGCCCACACCAGCATTGTTAACTACAAAGAGGCAGCCAAGGACTCTGTCAATCTTTTCAGCATGCAGGGAAAGGAAAGGTCAAGCAGAAATAGACTTAAATGTTTCTCAGCTGGTGGCTTTCAGCTCTATGGAGAGTTGGATGTCTAAAGCCTCTACCCAGACAGTAGGGCCAATGTAAAGCCCTCCCTCGCATTCAGAAACCTCGAAAGCTGAGGACTTATTTTCACATCAAAGATACGATCACTGGAGAGCCAGTGTGGTGTAGTGGTGAAGCACACAGGGCTGGGACTCAGGAGATCTGGGTTCTAGTGCCCACTCAGCCATGGAGCTCACCAGGTGACTTTGGGCCACAGACCCTCAACCCAACCAGCTCACGGAGTTGCTCCTGGGAGGATATGATTAAGAGGAGCAGAATTACATAATCCAGCTTGAGTTCCTTGAAAGGAAAAAAGGTGGGAGATAACATATGACAGAGGGATAGATGAGAGCAGCTTTAAGTGAATCCATGGATGGGTTGTCAGCAGGGCCAGCTTAAGGCCTTTTTCTTCCCAAGGTATCAGCTGCCCCCCCCCCCCCCCCCCCCCCCCTAATTAAATTATTTAACACATTTCTATGCTGCCCTCCTCCCACTAAATCCTCGGGCCAGCTCACAGC